GTAAATACTCCCTTGTAGGTAATTAACTCACGTTGGTAAATCTTAGTGTCAAACTAAACACGAAAATGTTAGTTTTGCATTTTTTTCCTCAAAAGAGTTAGTTCATTAGCTACTGAAAAGTTAATGAATTATTTATGGGAATTATTGTGGAATATTTTAGATCCCATATTTTTCTATCATCTCTCTTGCTTTAGAAATATAGGCAGTCATGGCGTCCTCCTTTGATAAACCTGCAAAGGAAAATAGTAGTCATTACCTTTCCTTATTTGGTATTCTATAACATTGATTACTTAGTGTAAACTTAATGGTAAAAACACCTTTTTTAAGGTTCCATGCTTCCCATTTGGCTTTGGCTTTCAGATCTAGCATTCCTGGACACTCTGACGAAAAAAAAAACAAAAAATTCCACAAACATTTGTCAGTTGTTATTATACCATTTTACCTAAAGATTGTTTAGTTTTAGTAAATGTACAGAATTAAATGTGTGTGTCGTGGTGGTGGTGGGGTTATGCACACACACACACACACACATATAAAGTACCAGTATCAATGTCTCCAACAGTAGACTGTTTGTAGAGTCCATATAGTTCCTTCAGCTCATCATCGCTTGGCCTCGTTTTTAATTTTTTTACATCTTCTGCAGCACTGTCGAAATCAGCCTGAAGGGGGCGGGGATCAAACAATGGAGTATTAGACATTTTAATCCCTATGTTGTATGCTTTAGGCTTTGTAGCATCCTCATAAATTTACTAATTGCTTCCCTGTCATCAGTGATACATAAAGGTAAATGCCTCTCAATACTTCCCTAATCAAATTATACTTGGCCAGAAATTTGGCCAGCTTGGCTGATAAATCAACACTGTTAAAAGAAGCCAACACTCTCCTCCCAAATACATATTTTTACAGCTAATTAATTGGAGCCATATACAGCCTAAGTGGTGAAATGGAATGTCACAGGTATGATCATGCAAGCTGCTTATAAATTCTATGAACTATAGGTCGTTCATATCCAGAGTCTGAGTTGAGGGCAGGGATGCAGAGGAACTACCATGGTGGTGGTTGAAGCTTTCCCTGGGGGAGGCTAGCTCCCACTTCCGCCTGCGGCCCCACCCAACGCTCCACCCCTGCTCTGCTCCAGGCCCCGCCTCCATTTGGCCCCCCTCCCCACTTGGCTCCCCCTGCCACTGATTGCTGCCTTCTCCTCTCCTCCACCCTCTTCCCCTACGAGCCCCTCCCCCCCACTACTCCTCACATCCCTCCTCTTCTCCATGCCCCCTCTCCACCGCGAGGCCCCTACTGCTCACAAGGAAGTGTTGAGCAGTGGGGGCTTTGGTGGGGGGTGGAGTGCAGGAGAGGAGGGACTCAGCCAGGCAGCGGCGGGCGGTGGGGGCCTCGAGGAAGGGGCAGAGCAGGGACGGAAAGAGGCGGAGCGCAGGCGGGGCCACCATGGCCCAGGTGTCTGGTGGCAGGGCAGCAGCGTCTGCACCAGGGAAGGCTTAGCCTCCTCTGGCCTATTATACCCCCAGCTTATGGAAACTGCATCCAAGAAGTAGTCCCTGGAGCTGTAAAGCCCTTTGAAAAGATGCTGAGTACACTCCCACTTTGTTTTCAATTCTCTGTTGCCAGTGCAACTGTGTGTGCATGCATGACAGTGGTGACAATACTGTATATTGGGGGTTAATGCAACAGTCAGTCTAACTGATGCATCACCCCTATATGCCAGAAGTGCAAGGACACATTGTAGCTACCCATTACATGAACACAAAGGGGGCGATTTGGGTTTGAAAGTCTCTTTTCATCTTCATCACACTGAGCTAGCTGCTCTCTGTCCCTATGTTACTGGTCCCAGTCAAGTCCTT